CGGTGCCGCGGGGCGGGGGCGCCCGCTGTGGAGGGCTGTTCGTGCGGGGGCGGGCGGGCACCTCGGGGCACGGTGCAGCCGTGGGGCTGGCGGGTGTCCCTGTGGGGCAGCCGTGGGGCTGGTGGGGGGTCCCCGCGGGGCATCTTTGTGGGTGGTGGTGGGAGTTCCCCGTGGCGCCGCGGCAGGGCCCCCTCACCCGCCGCCCCGCAGGGCGCCGAGCCGCGCTCACCGCCTCACGCCAGCCGACGACGAGCTCTACCAGCGCACGCGGGTGACGGTGCTGGAGGCCGAGTCCCCCAATGCCATGTTCATCGAGGGCTACACCAACCGCGGCTTCGCCGTCAGCGGCAGCCTCGTCGTGGGGCCCTGCGCCGTCCTGCCCCGCGCCATCCTCCAGTGGAACGTGAGTGACCGGGGCCGCGGCCGCCGCGTGGGGCTGGGGCCGGGGTCGGGGCCTGGGCCGCCCCGCTCAGGGCCCCGCGCTGTCCCCGCAGGTCGGCTCCCACTGGGACATCTCCTCGGAGAGCCTGGCGCTCTTCCGCCTGCTGGAGCCCCGCATCGGTACGTGGGGCAGGGCGGTGCCGCTGGGGCGGCTGCCCCAAGGGGAGCCCCAACCTGCCGCCCAGCACTGCGTCCCCTTGCAGAGATCCTGGTGCTGGGCACGGGCGACAGGGTGGAGCGGCTGCATCCCGCCCTGATGAAGCACATGCGGGCGTGCGGCATCGCCGTGGAGGTGCAGGACACGGTGAGCGGCGGCTCCCGGGGGGCTCCTGGTGCTGACAGCCCTGGGATGGGCTCTGTGCCACCCCCCATTCCCTTCCTAATTTCCCTGCCAGGCGAACGCCTGTGCGACCTTCAACTTCCTCATGAGCGAGAAGCGCCTCACGGCGGCCGCCCTCATCCCGCCGCGGAGCTGCTGAGCGCCGGGGACGCGCCTGGCACCGCTCTCCTCGCCCCGCGGCTGCTGCGCCCCGCGCCGCGCTGCTCCCCAGGGGACCACGCTGCAGAAGAAGGCAGCCTGGCCCCGGCGCGGGCGGCGCTGCGGCTCGCGGGCCCTGTGGCTGCGGGACTCGTTGGGCTGCCGGGGCTGCACCTTGTGCTGTGCGGTACCTGCGGCCGCCGGCCCCAGGCCCGTGATTCTGCGTGCTGTGAGATAAACAAAGTGGCCCGAGGGCCCCGTGACTCCCGCCTGGGCTGTGTCGCAGGCCGGGCACTGCAGGGGCTCGCGTGGGCTCCCGGCGCTCGCCCCAGGGCTGGCCCGCATCGAGCGGCGCAGCGCCCCGGCCTCCCCTCCTGCCTGTCGCCCCGGGGCTCTGCTGCCTGTGTGAGGCCACGTGCCCTGGCCGAGCTTTGGGCCACAAGCCCTGCAGTCATTCCGGCCCTCAGCACAAGTTCACTTGGCACCTTGCAGGGCGCTGAGCCCCCAACTCGAGCGCAGCCCCGGGGCTGCAGCGCTGCCGTCGCTGAGCGTCCTGCCCAATGCTGCAGCTGCGGCAGCCCAAAGCGCGCCATGCTGGCGTGCTCCTTTTCTCACGTGACACTGCTGCTGCTAGCACAGCAGGGCACGGTCAGCGTCACCACTGTCCTTGCCTTAGTGTCAGCCACCATGGAGGGCACCGGCTCCCACCCCCTGCCTGGCAGGGAGCTCCTAGTGCCCTGGCAGTGGCCCCTGCTCTCTCCTGGGGCTCAGTGTCATCACCCGCCACCTCTGGGGTCATGCTGGGAACAAGCAGAGCCCTGCACAGGGTTCCTGCCCCAGGCTTGGGCAGAGGGGAGGGCAACAGGGCACCCCGGGAACCCACAGCCGTGGCTCGTGCCGGGAACCCCTCGCCTGTCCCAGGGGCTGCCTGCAGCACAACCAACGGAGAGGGCAGGGAGGGCAGCCTGAGGCTGGGAGGAGGAAAAGGGAGATGAGCGGAAGGCCCAAGCAGAGGGAAGAGGCTCCAGGCTGATAAACTGGCCGCCCCCGAGCCCAGCCCACCACTGGCTCATTGTCTTTTCCTCTTTTATTGTAAAACGCGGCCAACGTCTGCAAGGCCCCGGGCGCCAGCCCAGGTGCCCGGTTCCTGGGCGGCGGTTGGGCCCGTCCAGGGGGTGGTGAAGCAGCCAAGGGACACGGGGGCTCCAGGCAGCCCACAGAGCAATGGCACTTGTGCAGCAGGAGCAGCTCCGGTGCGGCGGGCACCGTGACGAGACAGGAGCTCTTCAGAAGAGGCGCTTCTCATACCTGTGGGGACAGGGAGGGAGGGATGGGGGCCTTGAGGGGCAGCAAACGGGACAGCCCTTCCACTCCGGAAGGAAGGGACCAAGGCACAGCCAGGAACAGGCGAGACAACAGGCACCAGGGTACAGCCCGACTGCGCTGAGCTGCTTCGCACACCCGGCCCGCGGGCAGGGGCACTTACGAGTGGAGGCCGTGGACCCCTCCTTCCACCTGGGCGGACGTCGTCCTCTTCTCAAACTTGAGCTCTCCCGAGTACATCATGGCCCTGCGGAGGGAGGACGGGGTCAGGGCCGGTGCAGCTTCCCACCCAGCCCCGCGGAACGGGTTGCAAGGGACCACATTCCTGCAGCCCCGCGGCTGCCGCGTCCACAGCACAGCACCCACTGGGGACAAGGGAACAGGGTGACAGCATGGCCCAAGGATGCCGGTCACGGCCGCACGGGGACACCGTGGCCTAACCCGAAGCACTCACCGAACTTGGGTCAGGCTCTTGGCACCGATGTCCTGGCAGGAATGCTGGATCCCAGCAATCAGGTACGGAATGAACTTGTGGATAGAGCCCTTGTCCTGCACTGCTCCGGAGACCCCCTGGGCCACTTTGATTTTGTCCGTCTCACTGTGTGGGAGTGAAAACCAAGTTCATGAAGCAAAGAGGCCCCACGAGCTTGAGCTGCTAGCCCAGAGCACTGTCTCTTACCTGAAATAGCGATTCTGGCTGCCCAGGTTCTTGTCCATGGCGTCTAGCGAGCCCATGCCGCGGTATTTCTTGAGCCTAATTCCATCTGAGAAGAAGTACTCGCCCGGTGCCTCCGTGGTGGCGGCCAGGAGAGATCCCATCATCACTGGTGCGAGAGAGGACACGGAGCAGCGCGTGAGCGGTGCCACGAGCCGCCCGCCACCCCGCACCTCGGCGCCCGCGCCGTGCCCAGCGCCGCCCCGCGAGCGGCCCCGCTCACCCGTGGAGGCGCCGAGTGCCAGCGCCTTGGCGATGTGCCCCACCGTCTGGATGCCGCCGTCGGCGATCACGGGCACCCCGAACCTCCGGGCGTACTCGGAGACCTTGTAGACGGCCGTGGCCTGGGGGCGGCCACATGCCAGCACTGCAGCGGGAGAGAGCGGAGACGGGCTGAGCTCCCGCCGCGCCGCGCCGCCCTCCCCAGCAGGGTTCCGGCACACACATGCTCCAGCACTCGGGAACACGCACATCCCTGGAGGCTTCTTCCCTAGGCCAAGTTGCAGGAGAAGCAGATGCCCAGGACAGGCCTGCTGGGATGTTCCTCACGGCCCTTGACTCCAAAAGCTGTAGGTGTCCTTGGGATGGGGTCGTTAATTTGAGTGCCTGGGATCAGCCAAGCCTGGATCATTCCGGCGCATGGCAGCCGTGCGGGAGTTTGGGAATGAAGCGGAACAAACTCCCAAAGCTTCTCTCCAGGGCATCCCACGCCCGTTGGCACGTCCCACCATCTGCTCTTCCCTAGCAGCATCACAGCCTTCTCTGTGCACCCAGCAGCTCTTGCACGGAAAGGCAGCTGGCTGGGAGAGAGCTGATATATGTATATATACACTTATCTTTATATATACATACATATAATCTATCTGCACACACACACAAACGCACATGTGGCAATGGGAAAGGAAATGGGCAGGATGATTTCATGGGGAAAAAAAAAAAACATTATTTTGCAGGAAATCATTTTATCTTCCTGCCCTGCAGTGCAGCAAAGACTCTTATGTTTAGCTGCCCCATAGGGAAAAGTTCCAAGGCTCGGGATTTACCAGCTCTTCCAAGTCACTAGGAGTTAGAAGCCGTCTATTGTCCCTGGAAAGGCTTGAGAGGAAACCATCGCAGGACACTTGTCTTGTGTCACTTGAATGTCTCATAACACATTCGCCAGCCACAGGCATGCAAATACACCAGGATCGGCCTCCCCACAATTTACTGGAAGCCTCTTCTCTAGTCAGTGTGATCCGCAAGGTAAGATTACAGGCATGCGCGGTTAGTGCTTGGGGGTGCAGGCTTCAGGTGCGGGTTAGCGCGCCCGGGAGCTCTCCCCGGGCAGAGCTTTGCCGAGGCCTGGAGGCCGGGACTGCCCGGCTCCCGGGGCGCCGGGCTCCTCGCGGGCATCCTGCGAGAACTGGGGGTAACGGAGCCAAACGGTGCGCGGCGGCAGGGCTCGGGCAGCGCCCGCCAACAGCGGCTCCGATGCTGTCAGCGCTCAAGAGCTGGTCTCGCTCGGCACCACGCGGCCAACGGCCACGCTGGCATCATGGATGCTGCAAGGGAAGACCTCTCTGTAGAAGGAAGGACCTGATCCAAGAGGATCGGGTTCCTGGACATCTTGTGCCCGGACCTCACAGCAGCGGCCACGGAGACCAGCCCTTAGGCAACAGCTTGGCTCGGGCTCCGGGAGCTTCGGGCCATCCCGGCTCTCCCAGCGCCCGGCGCCGCGGCTTGAAGGATGTGCAGGCTTCCAAAGCAGGACTCGGAGCACACGCACACACACCAGGCAGGCAGGGGCATGGTTTGTCCTTTTGCAGCCTATCTGTAAAGGGTGACCCTGTGAGATCAACTGCTACACTAGGGAAAACCTTCCAGGATCCGCAATGGAAAACTCTTTCCTTGTGAGTTGCTTCAAAATTAAGAGAAAGGGAGAAAAAAAATGAATGAAGACTCAGTTTATGCGTCTGCTTGATCGCAGAGCATCAGAAAAGCAGAGATCAGAGGGGCACCCTGTGCTGGGCAGGGCAGAGGTCCGTGGGGAGGGACGTGGTTCTGGTGCGGAGCTGCCACGTTGGCCGCACAGAGGTAGGTGCCTTGTTCAGCCCCAGGGGAACCGGCTTTGAGTAAAGCTCAGCCAGGCACAACCTCCCCACAAGTGGGGCCAGACTTAGAGCAGAATCAAGGGCTGCTCAGGGCTGCTCTCCCAGCACCGGACCAGCAGGTGCACACCCAGCTGGAGACCCCAAGATACAGCCAGGAAGCTCAATGAGGCCCTAAACTGGGTTTTGGAATGGAGGGTGGACAGGCCTGAACGCCCTGGGCCTTCACAGCTGAGACCCTGCTTTAGGAACTCAGAAAGGCTTCTCAGTTTGAATTTCAGATTCAAAACCAGTATCCAAAGCCACAAAACCCCAAGTGCATCTACAGCTAAATTATTCTCAAACAAGCAGTAGGGCCATGTGCAGCCAAATCAGGGTCCTGCTTCAAGACACGTAATTAGGGTTGGGAACAGGGCAAGTGACTTACTATAGGTGCCCGTGACAGTAGAAGGGCATTTGGGGCTGTGGGACTTTAGGTCTGGAGGGATCTTTGGAGCAGCTAAACAAAAACAAACACACACATTTTAGAGACAGAAGAACAGCAGCAGAACAAAGGGCCCCAGCAGTGACCTGCTACTAGGCAGAGCAATCGGTGTGGGACAGAGCTGACTTTGCCAACCCTTCCTAGCCCGAGGCCAGTCCCTGGGCACAGCGCTGGCTCGCCTGGCCCCAGCAGCATCGGAGAGGGAATCCTGCTAACCCCAAGAGCCGGAGTTCCTGCTCCGCAAGGGCAAAGAGCTGCGGCTGAGTTTTGCACCCACGTGTCCTGCTGAGCGCTGTGCTCCCTGCGCTCCTCCTTCCCCCAGCGCAGCACCCAGCCCCACGTCCCGCAGCACCCGAGAGAAGCAGCCTCTGCAGGCAGTGACCGTGCTGCAAAGCAGGGCGCCAGGAGCCCTCTCGCCCAGCCCCGCGGGGGACACCTGGCTCTGCTCCTACTGCGGAAGCCTTCGGCCAAGGGCACAGCAGCTCTGCAGAAGGTCACTCAGGACACGCTGTCCCCATGGGGAGCTCCCTGCAGCCAGCGCGGCCGCAGCAGGTAAAGCAGGAACAGGCTGCCAGTGCAGGGCTGCTCCGGCGCTGGCAGAGCACTCGGGTACCTGCTCCTGCAGCCACCGGCGCCCGCTCGCTGCCTCCCGAGGGAGCCAAGCAGACAGGGGCTGCGTCTGCGCAGCCT